ATGCATTCAGTCTCTAATTTCAAAATCTCCATAGTCTGTAACAGTCTCAAACTTGTTTAAAAGCCCTAGGTCCAACGTCTCTTCTGAGACTCACAGAAATCTCTTAACGAATGCCCTGGAAATCAAAATGAAAAGGTAGATCACGTACTTCCAACATATCATGGCACAACCTATACCTTACTGTTCCAAAAGGAAGAAAGTGAGGAAACACTGGACCAAAGCGAGTCCAAAAACCATCTGGGCAAACTCCAAATTCTGCCCTTCCCTGTCTGATGTCAAAGTGCTCTTCAGATCTCCAGTTCCTTTCAGCTTTGTTGATGGCAACACATTTCTCTCTCTTGGGCTGGTTCCACTCCCTGTTAGCAGCTCTCCTCAGCAGGTATCCCACCACTCTGGCATCTCTAACATCTTGGGGTCTCCAAGGCCATCCAGGTGTCAGTGTCACAGCTTCACACAATGGCCTCTCTAGGCCTCCACGCAGGGATACCTCTGCCACGTGCCTGGCCTCACAGCAGCTCTCCTTAGCTGCAGAGGGAGGTTCCACAACCCCTTTCTACTATCCTTGACTCTAAAGCCAGAACCGCATGGCCAAAGCTGCCAAATTCTGCTGCTTGCTGGAGCTGGAGTATGACCCCCTTGTTTAATGACACCTTCACCAGCTTTCTTTCTTGCTATTTTCTTCCACTGCCTAAGCTGGGATGTGCGGGAACTCACTCTGTAGACCAGGCTGACCTTAAACTCAGAGATTTGCTTGCCTCTGTCTCCTGAGTGCTGGGATTAAAGGCGTATACCACCACGCCTGGACCTAACTTGTTCTTTAATTCCTTTTCACAAATTAGAAGCTTAGTTGGGTGAGGTCTTACCCTGAGGCCCCCACACCCTTTATTCCATTTAGCATCAGGCTTTTCTTTAAATTTTTTCTTGTGGTCTTTTTCTCCTCAAACTGTGTATTTTGTATTTTTCCTTGCTCAGCTTGCTCCTTTTCATTATAGATCTGCAGAATACTGCCCACTAATAACCAAGTAACACAGTCAATGCTGGGTTGTTTTGAAATGTCCTCTGCCAAAACAGTTAATCCATAACTCTTCAACTTAACCTAGGGCAGATTTTTTGAACAAGGGCAGAAAGCAACCATGTTCTTTGCCAAAATATCACAAGAACAGTCTCTAGGCCACATGTTAATATTCTCCCCTGAAACCTCTTGAGCCAGGCCCCCACAGTTCAAATCACCCTCAGCACCACTGTCTTCCATGTTCCTACTGGAATGGCCCATTAAGCTGTACTTAAAGTGTTCGACTGTTTTCCTAACCCAGAGACCCAAAGTCCACATTCCTCCAAATAAAAACATGGCCAGCTAATCACAGCAACACCCCAGTCCCTGGTACCAACTTCTGTCTTAGTTAGGGTTTCTATTGCTGTGAAAAGACACCATGACCACAGAAACTCTTATAAAGGAAAACATTTTAATTGCAGGGGGGGGGGTAGCTTACAGTTCAGAGGTTTAGTCCACTATCATCATGATGGGAAGCATAGAGGTATGAAGGCAGACGTGGTGCTGGAGAGGTAACTGGGAGTGCTACATCTGGATGGGCAGGCAGCAGGAAGAGCAAGTGAGCCACTGGGCCTGGCTTGAGCTTCTGAAAACTCAAAGCCCCCCCCCCAATGAGGCCACACCCACTCCAACAAGGCCACACCTCCTAGGAGTGCCCCTCCCTATGGGCTTAAGCAGACCATTTTCATTCAAACCACCACAGATGAGGACTGCCACGGGGACCTCCCAGAACATTCGTGTAGAACTCGGCACTGTTCGGAGGAAGCTGGACCTAGTGATGGGGAGGCCTTTGAGAGGAAACAGAGCCAGATGAAGGAGAGCTTTCATCCCCTCTTTCAACAGCTCCGCAGCCCCTCCTTGGAGTATGAGGGAAAAGATGGGCCGTAAATGGACATTTGCAAAGCAGAAACCACAGAGAACAAGGAATTTCATCTTCAACCTCACGGTGCCACGGCATCCAGTTATCTGACGTAACGAAGTAGGGTTCTGTGGGAGAGGGAGTCAGAGAGACTAAGAGAATATGTTATGGAAGATATTCACCATCTCTCTCGTGTAGTGCAGAGCTATTCTCTCCCAAGTCCTCAGGGGCCAGAGAGAAAATCCTAATGGGAAAATAAAAAAAAAAAAAAAAACAGAACAGAAAGCTGTCACGTGGTTCTCTTTGGTTTTTTCCACGTTTCACCAACATGTAGAGTTCTAGGGAAGCAGATTTTGCCAGAATTAGTATTTTCAACATGGCGAATTGTCTTCAAAGCAGGTGTAGGGGGTGGGAAGGTTTCCTGTCCCTAGAAGGTGTTTCTATTGAGGTTGGGAAAGCCTTTTCCATGGAGGCCATAAGAAAACGTGCCTAGTGGCCTTGCAGCTTCCTCCAAAGCTCTAGGGTGAGGTGACCCACTGGGCATGCATGTTATCTGACCCAGTGATAAGACTCCCTAGGGAGTTAGCCACACAGACGAAGCACAGTGATAGGGTGTAAAGAAAACAACCAACACTCAAAGGCGGACTTCATCACTCCCCTTTCCAACAGCCACCACGGTAACAGCTCGGCACCCACCCCCCCTTTCCACTCACTAACAAACACCTGTTGAGTGTCCCATGTGGGCCAGACACTACAGGGAGATGGTGGCTGGGGCCAGCAAGGTACACCGTGGGTACCATCCATGGCCATTGGTACTACCTCATACTAACAAAACCGTCAACTGGACAAGTGAAGGCAGTGTGTGACGGCCATGCTAGAAGGTGTCTTGGCTGCATCACTGAGAGATAACTCCCATTTGTGATAGGGTCAGGGACGGGAAGCACTGTGAACAGGTGCCATGGAGGAGAAAAGCCAGAGGAAATATGCCCCAGCTAAGTCAGAACGCATTCCTGCAGGGCCTGAGGCACGATGAAGACTGGGCCTTGTTCCCAGGGCAGCTCGGGAAGGCAAGGAAGGGAGTAACCACGATGGCTTAGAACTGTCACACTGGGACATGGGAGCAGGGCCACGCCCAGTGTGCCGGGGCCTCTGATCAGGGCCCTGACACTAGAATATGCCAATTGACAAATGACTGTGGCAGGTGGCGAAAGGGAACATGGGTCAGTGTAGATGTAACCAACCGTCTTATTAAATAAGAAACACAGAAACAATGTAAAAGAGAAAGCCGAGAAGTCAGAGCTCAGAGCTAAAATCTCACCCTTCCTCCTGCTGTCCCAGCTTCGCGAAAAGAGAGCTACTTCCTGTCGGTTCGTTTTTTTAAAGTATGTTGTTCTGCCTTCTCATTGGTTGTAAACCCAAACACATGACTGCCTCGTCACTGTCTGAATGTACAGCCCCCTAGGTCTTAAAGGCATATGTCTCCAATGCTGGCTGTATCCCTGAACACACAGAGATCTTATGGGATTAAAGGCGTGTGCCACCACCGCCACACTCTTGCTATGGCTCTAATAGCTCTGACTCCCAGACAACTTTATTTATTAACATACAATCAAAATAATAATTCAGTACAATTAGATTATCACCACAGGTCAGGGCTTGCTTTGTCTGCCCTTGCTCCCTTCGATCTGAACACGGTAGGACCGTGAGAAACAATAGGCATGGCCACCATCCAGACACTGCCCACCGTCGCTTGGCACCAAGCAGGACCCTGGCACTGGAGAGAAAATTAGACTAGTCGGATGAGGCACTTGCTGACCGGCTGGCCTTTAGGTTTGGGCCATGAGCAGACACCTCTGGACAGGGGCCCCATTTCCAGAGTCACTTTGAGAGTTCTGCCCAGCTCCCACAGCCTGAACCTTGACCATGGCCACATACTCCCAGAAGGGTAGAGGAGAGTTAGAGTCTAAGAGATCTAAAGCCTGGAGCCATGCTAGTATATTTGGGATAACAGCAAAAGAAAAATGGGTAGGGGGTGGGGTGGGGGGTGGAGATAAGCTTTGTCCACTTTTTTCTGGATCTGACATTTTGCTTGATTATCCATACTCATCATCGTTATTACAAATGGTTGGAGGATCATACATGTTTATACCCATGTTTAAAAACTATATTAAGAAGGTTGGTAAGGCTGGGCAGCGGTGTCGCACGGCTTTAATCCCAGCACTTGGGAGGCAGAGGCAGGCGGATCTCTGTGAGTTCAAGGCCAGCCTGGTCTATAGAGTGAGATCCAGGACAGGCACCAAAACTACACAGAGAAACCCTATCTTGGGGGAAAAAAGAAGAAGAAGGTTGGTAAGATGTTCTAGTCTGAGTTTGATTGTTGGAACACACACAGGATAGAAAAGAGAGAAACGGCTCTCATAAGTTGTCCTATCTCCTCCACATGTGCATCTCTCTCTCTCTCTCACTCTCTCTCTCTCTCTCTCTCTCTCTCTCTCTCTCTCTCTCACACACACACACACACACACACACACACACACACACACCTTGTCAGCCTACACCCACGGCTCCAAATTTACACTTAAATCAGGCAAAGCAAGGCAGTATTTCTTGAGTCCTTGTACGTCCGACTTTACATCAATATAGTTGAAATACCTGGCAGGAATGACTGAGCTGGAAATGTTTATTTTAGCTCACAGTTCAGAGCAGTTTAGGCCATGGTGACTGGGAGCTGTCTTACTGGGTCTGGGGGTGTGGCCAAACATGCGGTGGGAGCCTGTGACTGATGGGAAGCAGAGAGAACAGGAAGCAGCCAGGGATAATATACCCCCAGGAACCCTCCTCCCCTGGTGTCCTAGTTCTTAGCTCCCCACAATAGCACCACAGCTCAAGGGCTCAAACACAGGTGGGCCTGTGGGGGGGGTATTTCAGATTCAGACCAAGCCCGAACGTGAAGGGCATCGGTCCCTCCTTCAAACCCATGACGGCTTTGGAAGGAGTCCCCAAGCTGCAGGAGGACTAGGAAGAGGCCTTCCACCCTAAGAAATGACAGTCCTCTCTCTGACATCTCTTTGGTCTATGTCATCCCTCCAGGGCACTCGGTCTGAACTTCCGTACTGGCATCGGGGATGCTCTCTGTCTTTGAAGAAGGAAGAAAGCCCGCCCCAGCGGCTGTGGGCCGTCTCACCAGCGACTCGGAGCGGAAGTGCTTTAGTGGCGCATGTGGCGCGTGCCTGGAGGCCACGGGAACTTCGAAGCTCTCAGTGGCCCTCCCAGAGGCCGGGTGGGAATTGTTGTTCATAGTGCCAAAGTCCTACTACTGCGTTTTCAATGGGTCCCTGTACATAGTCTCTTGCCTCTGCCCCCACCCCACCTCTTGCTATACTGGAACCGATTTATACAATGTGGGAATTTTGTTACCTTTTTAATCGAGGGCAACTTCCTTTTCCAGCACTTCCGTGGTAAGGTGTTTGCTTTTTTTTTTCTCCCCCAGGAAGGAGGGCTAACCACATTACATTGCTTTTCTCTTTTTTCTTTTCACTTTATTAACAAGGGGGAGGGAGTATTAGTATTAGCGCCACTATATCTACTGGATTTTAGGTAGGAAGAATTTCTTTCTTTTTTTAAGGTAGTTTGGCATTTGGGAGATGTCTTTGTGGGAAGGGCTGAGGTTGGTCCTCTGGCTCAACATTGGATGGGTTCACAAATAGCAGGCCTTCCGCGTCAAGCCCATTCCCAGTTTCCCCGGCTGCCTTTTGGGGACCTTGCCTCAGCCCGATGCCAAGAGGTGGGTCTGGCTTCTCAACTGCTTGGATAATTGGGGAGCGGGTGTCTGCCCTCTTTACAAATCTTTTTTAAATACCAGCAGAAAGGGCTCCCACACTTGATGATGCCATCATTACTCTTAGGAAATGAAAAGAGTGGTCTTTCGGCCCCCGCTCGCACAAAGGTGAACATCTCTGGGTTTCTTTGCTCATCCTCACTGCCTTTTCTTGGTGTGGCATTTGACAAGATTTCAGCTCGAAGCCTCACTATCAACTGATTTTATTTTTGTTCGTGTGTGTGTATGTGTGTGTGTGTGTGTGTGTGTGTGTGTGTGTGTGTGTGTGTTTGGGCCAATTTTAGATACCTGAGTGCACTTTTTTTTTAGTTAGTTGTAACTTTGAAAGAAGGAAAGCCAAGAGATCTATCTCGTATAAATGTCTCGACGTGGATTCTGTTTGCTGTCCTTGTCCCCTTCCCCTCCCCAGCCCTGTGACCCCACGATACACTGCACAAATAAAATACTAGGGAGTTTGAATAAAAGCAGTTTTTCTAACTTGTTTCTCATTTGTTGTAACTCAATAAAGCAAAGACTAAACATTTTTATAACCTTTCCTCTGCTCCTTGCTCATCATTGCTATCCGGCTCCTGAGGTCTCAGCCTACACTCCTTCCTGACGGGGCACCTCCCACTGCCAATTCATTGTGACCTTATTTTTTTAAGGTTTAGTGTGTGTGTGTGTGTGTGTGTGTGTGTGTGTGTGTGTGTGTGTATGTGTGTGCATGATGAAACAGGAATTATCCCTTCTGTTCATATCCCTGTGACCCAAATTCTAGTCATGGTAACACTTGGCTGTAAGGGAGGCTGGCCAAGTGGCCCAGAGCCAGAAGTGGAGGAGCCCCTCCCCTAAGAGGAAAGTGGAGTGGCCATCATGGTCAAGACAATCAACCACAAGGAGATTTAGCTACATCTGACCTCAAGGCCACCCCCCTCCCTAGCTAGATGAACCACCACCAGCTACTTTTCATTGCATCTGGGTTAATCCGAGAATCATGACCAGTGCCATCCTGGACTCAGAATTGATTCGAGACTTTCCGAGGTCAGAGCCCACTCTGACCCATTGTGTAAGATGTCTCGAGTGTCTGGAAGATCACCTAACCCATCAGTTTCTGTCAGGTACACACTTGTGGCTGCTGTCATCTCCGGGGCATCCTCCAGACAAGTGATGAACCGCTCCAGAGATGGTTTCAGGGAACAGCGTCTGCTTTATGGTACACGAGCAACCATTTATATAGCGGAAGTCTATCGACTACAGCGGGTTAGCACATGACCTCGGATTGGACAGTGGGCGCTCAGACCACCTCTCTCTGCGGAGGAAGCACCTTAGAGGAGATGTGGGGGGCGGGGGTGCAGATTCGTCCTCAGGCTAGCTACTGCCACTCACACTACTTCAGAACCCATGGTTCTGACTTCAGACATAGTGTGCCAAGCTTCTTATTTAGAAGTGCAGAGTGCCAGCTAGGCTGGCTGCCGGGTCAGGCCTGCCAAATGCCTCGTACATATGGTGGTAACAAGTCAAGCTGGGTGAGGCCAGAGGCTTTGGGGGCTGATAAGAGAGAAGACTCTTGAGAAAGGAAACAGGAAGGGGCATTGAGAGTCACACCCAAGGAGGGGTTCCTCGGAGTGTCCACCCAACCAGACAAAAGGACGGACAATCTAGAACAGGAGCTCCAGGCTCATGTCCAGCCATAAGGAAGGGAACAGGTGAGTGAGGCTGGCCTATATGCATCTTTCTTCCTCCTGAGTTCCAGGGGTATAAAGAGGTGAAGGGGGAGGGGGCGGCTATGGTGCTTAAGGGCACACTCTGGAGGTCAAAATGCCTGAAGTCAACTCTCTGTTCTGCTACTGTCTGAGGTGCTTTCCTATGGATGTGATAAAGCACCGTGACCAAGGCAACTTATGATAGCATTTAAGAGATGGGGGAGGGGAGGGAGAGGGGGAGAGAGAGGGGGAGAGAGAGAGAGAGAGAGAGAGAGAGAGAGAGAGAGAGAGAGAGAGAGAGAGAGAGATTGATTTAGCACTGGCAGAGCTGACTCATTCTGGTCCCCCACTGCCTCTCTTCCTGTGTTCCCAGCACCTGGCTCCTCATCACCCCCATGCTGTCCTGTCCTTCCCGTTAATGAGTGTCTCCAGCCCGTCTCCACAGGTGGCTGCACTTCTCTCCCGCTATTTACCACCCTGGCAGTTAGGCTTGCCACTGCCATTTAAAGGAATCCTTGGAGCAAGTCAGTGGGAGCGACCATCAAATGCCTAATGTCTGTGGAAACCAAAGAACGGGGCCCTGATAATGGGCGGGAATGAGAAACACGGAAGATGGCCTTTTAACCACCCAGCAAAATGTGTCCTTTTAACCACCCAGCAAAATGTGTCAAGCTGTGTTTCTCCGGTGGGAATGACTGAAGAGTGGCAGACCTAGGAGAGAGTCTGTGGGGCAGGCAAGGTTCTTGAGACAGTGGGAGAGAGAGGCAGGTGGAGTGGCCTGTGGCTTCATCTGTCTGTCTGTCTATCTATCTATCTATCTATCTATCTATCTATCTATCTATCTATCTATCTATCTATCTATCTATCTACCTGTCTGTCTGTCTGTCTGTCTGTCTGTCTATCTATCTATCTATCATCTATCTATCATGGACTCTTTGCACCCTTAGCACTTTCTTCAAGGGATTTTCTCTTCACCCTCTGTCGAGGGTGGGAACTGCCCATCACGGGAACTTTCCTCCCCCAGCCAGGGGAGAGCCATTACACTTTAGTGCATCTAGACAGGGTACAAGGCTGTGCACACACAAAATCCAATCTGGATCAGTCAGGTTCTTGTAGAAAGGGCTGTTCTTTCCTATGGTGAGTATGATCATGGTTCTGTGACTTTGTCTGGGAGACCTGAACAAATATCTATGAGCCCACGCTAGGTCATCAACAACAGACCCCTACAAATGGCCCCTCCCAAGTTTAGCTTGACGAACGGATAAGTTTAACAGAGGTTGCTTACGGGAGTGGGGGGATCTCAGGCATGTACATCACCTGGCATGGATGACAGCTTACAAGGGCTGAGTCACTCTGTGCCACCGGCTGGTGGCAGCTGCTTACAGCTTTTTCTTTTTTTTTTTATTATAATTAAGAAATTGTTTACTCATTTTGCATGCCAATCACAGATCCCCTCTTCCCTCCAGCCTCCCCTTTACCTCATGGGGAGCTTCACCTCCTTAGCCTTGTAAGTTTCCTGGGGCTTATAAGCCTTTTTCCTCCCTCCTCTTTTTTCCCCCCCCCCCCCCGTAGGAAAGAACACTTCAACCCAGAGGAGACAGCCATGTAAGCCTCCGGAGGTCAGAAGTCTTGCCAGGAGAGGAAGCCAGTGTAGAAGTAAAAATGCCACGTGGCCCAAAGAGTCAGGAAGGGAGTGTCATCAGGAAGGAGTAGAGGTGATGGTAGATGGTGGCAGTGACATCGTTTGCATCCCTGAAGTCGGCAGTTCCTAAGACCATCTCCCAGTCCTTCCATTTTTATAAAGCCAACACAGCTCCCCTTTTGACAGGAGCTAAACAAATAAACAAACTCCGGAGTTGGATGTCTGTCGCTAAAATATCCAAGTTCTAATGGGTCGATCAGATTGCAACAAAAAAAAAAAAAAAAAAAAAAAAAAAAAAAAAAAAAGAAAATGAAATACATGTAAAGAGACACACAGAGCTAGTGTCCATAGACACATAGACATCCAGCTGCCGAGCTGGATGATGCAAGGCTATGTCGTCAAGATTCAAATGTGGTCCCTGGCTCTCCAGCAGCAGCCATTGGACAGGGCGCCCGGGTGAATGGCATGTTCCTTAAAGGTGAAGAAACTACGCTCCCACCTCCTCCAGCACTCAAGTGGGTGAGCAGTCAACCGACCCAATCACATATCATGCTGACTTCAGAGTGTAGACCTGGAGAGAAGAGAAGCCGACCAAAGTAAAGGATACTGAGTGCGTCCAACAGGCATGAGCACACTTCTCTCTCTAGCACACTTCTCTCTCTAGCACACTTCTCTCTCTAGCACACTTCTCTCTCTAGCACACTTCTCTCTCTAGCACGCTCGCACAACCACTTCCAGCCACAGCCCTGGGGAATAACAGCTCTCTGAGGCCTGACTGTACAATCTGGCCTGAACCAGGAGTACTGTCAGCTCCTCCCTCTGTGGACGCTGGAAAGCTCCCCATCTAAACCACCTCCCAGCAGAACATACTTAGGAACCATGGCTGACACGGGCCCTGGCTCTAGTGATGGTGGGAGGGGTCAACACAAAGGAGTAAAAATGTACTTGAGCACATTCCAGAAAGCATTTGAGTCAGATATCCCACCGAGTGGAAGAAGCACTCTCAAGTTCCTCTCGACTTTGAAGAACCTAGACTCTCACGGGGGAAAACAAGTTTTCCATCAACCATTCTAAACCCTCCTCCCATAACAAATGCTTCGAGGAGTAGACTCTTGTCTGGATCTTCGCAGGAAAGAGGTGGAGCTTACACTGGGTCATTTATTCGAAGTACTGTTTACAGAAGTGTAGGTAGGGTTTAGGGAAACCACGGCGGAGGGAGGAAGGGAGCTTGGCTAGAAAAGGCAAAGGACCAGAGGCGGACAGTTGTACTGAGCAGGCCACCTGAAAGGAGATATAAGCCGTGGTGAGCCAGCGGGAAGAGAGTCAAGGCAATAAACACTCTGAAATCACCCTCTGCTCCTCGGCTACTGCCTCCAAAGAGCCAACCCCAAGCAGAAGCCAAGCACAAAAATCTCTGTTGATCAAATCCTTCCGATGGTCCAGGAAATAGATCAGCCAACGGAATGGACTCAAGATGGCAAACACACACCACCCTTGCCATTGTACCACATTCCGGACTTAGAGCGAGCAATAATGAATCAACCTAACCTTCACCTGTCAGGCTTCATAATACTTAAGAAAGCGCCCAATCACGGCTCTGACTTTAGAATGTGAGACGAGACATGTCGTGGGTGCCACTGGCTGCCTAGCTAACGGTTACTTCCTCTCTCCTTGCTGTTTTGTTTTGAATTTGTGTGTACATATATGTGCGGGTGCGTTTGCCTCTGTGTGTGTCTGTGTGTGCGTGCATGTGTGCCTGTGTATGGGTCAGAAGTCTACATCAGGGATTTTCCTCTCTCGCGCTTCACCTTAATTTTCAAGACAGAGTCTCTCAGTGAACCTGGAACTCACTACTATTTCAGCTGGACCTGCCGCCTAGCAGGCTGCCAAATCCTGCTTGATTCTGCATGCCCGTTGCCCACCCTGCCCATCCGTTCCCACCCACCCCCACCCCTTCCCACCCCTGCCAACCAAACAAATTTATATTCTCTATTCAACCCCAGGCTTGGAACTTACTTGACTCCCCAACTTCCCTTGCGGCTAAGGTGACTACTAGACGTGGCCAGAAGACCAGTGTATAGCTGCTGCCGTTAACCCTCCTCTCGTCCTACCAACGAACTGAATCCATGCCCCAGCTGCCTGCTTACAAACTTCTCTATATGTGAGAAAGGAAAGAGCTTTATTTGTTTAGTTAACTTTGCATTGGAGAA